GGGGTTTTTTGTTCTTATTTCTCTAATTGCTTTAGGTATAAGGTTAGGTTGTTTATTTGAGATGTTTCTTGTTTCTTGAAGTAGGGTTGTATTGCTATAAACTGCTCTCTTAGAACTGCCTTTGCTGCCTCCCATATTTGGGTCCTCGTGTTTTCATTGTCATTTGATTCTAGGTATTTTTTTATTTCTTCAGTGATTTCTGGGTTATTTAGTAGCGTATTGTTCAGCCTCCATGTGTTTGTATTTTTTAAAGTGTTTTTCTGTAATTGATATCTAGTCTCATAGCATTGTCGTCACAAAAGATACTTGATACGATTTCAATTATCTTAAATTTACCAAGGCTTCATATGTGACCCAAGATATGATCTATCCTCGAGAATGTTCCATGAGCATTTGAGAAGAAGGTGTATTCTGTTTTTTGTTTTGTTTTGTTTCGTTTTGTTTTGTTTTGCGGTGCGCAGCCTTGTCACTGTTGTGGCCTCTCCCGCTGTGGAGCACAGGCTCCGGACGTGCAGGCTCAGCAGCCATGGCTCACGGGCCTAGCTGCTCCGTGGCATATGGGATCTTCCCAGACCGGGGCACGAACCCGTGTCCCCTGCATCGGCAGGCAGACTCTCAACCACTGCGCCACCCGGGAAGCCCTATTTTGTTGTTTTTTCATGCAATGTTCTATAAATATAATTTAAGTCCATCTTGTCTAATGTATCATTTAAAGCTTGTGTTTCCTTATTTTTCATTTTAGTTGATCTGTCCATTGGTGAAAGGGGGATGTCAAAGTCCTGTATTATTTGGGTTACTGTTGATTTCCCCTTTTATGCCCGTTAGCATTTGCCTTATTTATTGAGGTGCTCCTATATTGGGTGCATAAATATTTACAGCTGTTATATCTTCTTGGACTGGTCCCTTGATCATTCTGTAGTGTCCTTCTTTGGCTCCTGTAATAGTCTTTATTTTAAAGTCTATTTTGTGTGTTATGAGAATTGCTACTCCAGCTTTCTTTTGATTTCCATTTGCGTGGAATATCTTCTTCCATCCTCTCACTTTCAGCCTGTATGTGTCCCTAGGTCTGCAGTGGGTCTCTTGTAGCCAGCATATATATGGGTCTTGTTTTTGTATCCATTCAGCCAGACTGTCTTTTGGTTGGAGCATTTAATCCATTTACATTTAAGGTAATTATCGATATGTATGTTCCTATTCCCATTTTCTTAATTGTTTTGGGTTTGTTTTTGTAGGTGTTTGCCTTCTCTTGTGTTTCCTGCCTAGAGCAGTTTCTTTAGCATTTGTTGTAAAGCTGGGTTGGTGGTGCTGAATTCTCTTAGCTTTTGCTTGTCTATAAAGTTTTTAATTTCTCCGTCGAATCTGAATGAGATCCTTGCTGGGTAGAGTAATCTTGGTTGTAGGTTTCTCCCTTTCATCACTTTAAATATGTCCTGCCACGCCCTTCTGGCTTGCAGAGTTTCTGATGACACATCAGCTGTTAACCTTATGGGGATTCCCTTGTATGTTATTTGTTGCTTTTGCCTTGTTGCTTTTAATATGTTGTCTTTGTATTTAATTTTTGATAGTTTGATTAATATGTGTCTTGGCATGTTTCTGCTTGCATTTATCCTGTATGGGACTCTCTGTGCTTCCTGGACTTGATTGAGTATTTCTTTTCCCATATTAGGTAAGTTTTCAACTATAATCTCTTCAAATATTTTTCAGTCCCTTTCTTTTTCTCTTCTTCTTCTGAGACCCCTGTAATCGAACATTGGTGCATTTAATGTTGTCCCAGAGGTCTCTGAGACTGTCCTCAATTGTTTTCATTCTTTTTTCTTTATTCTGCTCTGTGGTAGTTGTTTCCACTAGTTTATCTTCCAAGTCACTTACCTGTTTGTCAGTTATTCTGCTATTGATTCCTTCTAGAGAATTTTTAATTTCATTTATTGTGTTGTTCATCATTGTTCGTTTGCTCTTTAGTTCCTCTAGTACCTTGTTAAACGTTTCTTGTATTTTTTTCCATTCTATTTCCAAGATTTTTAGATCATCTTTACTATCATTACTCTGAATTCTTTTGCAGGTAGACTGCCTATTTCCTCTTCATTTGTTAGGTCTGGTGGGTTTTTACCTTGCTCCTTCATTTGCTGCATATTTCTCTGTCTTTCCATTTTGCTTAACTTACTGTGTTTGGGGTCTCCTTTTTGTAGGCTGCAGGTTTGTAGTTCCTGTTTTTTTTGGTGTCTGCCCCCAGTGGGTAAGGTTGTTTCAGTGGCTTGTGTAGGCTTCCTGGTGGAGGAGACTGGTGCCTGTGTTCTGATGGGTGGGGCTGGATGTAGTCTTTCTGCTGGGCAGGGCTGCATGCAGTGGTGTGTTTTGGGGCGTCTTTGTACTTAGTATGATTTTAGGCAGCCTCTCTGCTAATGCGTGGTGTTGTGTTCATTGCTTCCTAGTTGTTTCGGCATGCAGTGTCCAGCACTGGAGCTTGCTGGCCGTTCGGTGGAGCTGGGTCTTAGCATTGAGATGGAGATCTTTGGGAGAGCTCTCACCGATTGATATTACGTGGAGCCTAGAGGTCTCAGGTAGTCCAGTGTCCTGAACTCGGCTCTCCCACCTCAGAGGCTCAGACCTGACACCAGGCCCGAGCACCAAGACCCTGTCAGCCACACAGCTCAGTAGAAAAGGGAGAAAAAAAGAAAGAAAAAAAATTAATAAAATAAAATTATTAAAATAAAAGAATTGTTAAAATTTAAGAAATATTTAAAGTAATAAGAAAAAAGAAGAGATCAACCAAACTAATAAATCTATGAATGATAACAAGCGCTAAAACCTATACTAAGATAAACATAAAAATCAGAAACAAGTCAATTGCAGACAGCAAATCCCAAGTCTGCAGTTCTCCCAAAGTCCACCGCCTCAGATTTGGGTTGATTCCTTGTCTATTCAGGTATTCCACAGATGCAGGGTACCTCAAGTTGATTATGGGAGTTTAATCTGCTGCTCCTGAGTCTGCAAGGAGAAAATTCTCTTTCTCTTCTTTCTTTGTACAGCTCCTGTGGTTCAGCTTTGGTTTTGGCCTCACGTCTTCGTGTAGGTTGCCCTCAGGCTTCTGTTCCCACCCAAACAGGATGGGGTTAAAGCATCGGCTGATTAGGGGCCTCTGGCTCACTCAGGCCGGAGGGAGGGAGGGGTAAGGTAGTTATAATTGGAATGCGAGATGAGCCTGCTGCAGCAGAGGCCAGAGTGAGTTTGCAACAGCCTGAGGCGTGCCTTGTGTTCTGCTGCGGGGGTTGTCCCTGGATCACGGGACCCTGGCAGTGGTGGGCTGCACAGGCTCGCAGGGCAGTGCGGCAGCGTGTGGGTAGTGACCTGTGCTTGCACACAGGGTTCTTGGTGGCTGCAGCAGCAGTGTTAGCATTTCGTGCTCATCTCTTGTGTCTGAGCTGGTAGCCGGAGCTCATGCCCATCTCTGGAGCTAGTTTAAGCTGTGCTCTGCTTTCTGTGGGCAGACAGGGAAGGAATCCCCTCTCCTCGTGCTCCCCAAAACAATGGTCTCTTGCGTCTTAGGCAGGTCCAGAGTTTTTCCTGGACTCCCTCCCAGCTAGCTGTGGCGCACTAGCTCCCTTCAGGCTGTGTTCATGCAGCCAACCCCAGTCCTCTCCCTGAGCCCGAGCCTCAGGTCCCAGCCCCCGCCTGCCCTGGCTGGTGAGCAGACAAGCCTCTTGGGCTGGTGAGTGCTGGTCGGCACCGATCCTCTGTGCGGGATTCTCTCCGCTTTGCCCTCTGCACCCCTGTTGCTGCACGCTCCTCTGTGGCTCTGAAGCTTCCCCCCTGCCCACTCCCCATCTCCACCGGTGAACGGGCTTCCTAGTGTGTGGAAGCTTTTCCTCCTTCACAGCTCCCTCCCAGAGGTGCAGGTCCCATCCTACCCAGGTACGTGGGGATTTTCTTGCCTTTTGGGAGATCTGAGGTCTTCTGCCAGCGTTCAGAGGTGTTCTGTAGGAGCTCTTCCACATGTAGATGTATTTCTGATGTATTTTTGGGGAGGAAGGTGATCTCCGCATCTTACTGCCATCTTGAAGGTCCCACCCCGAAAGTAATGGTTTTGATTGATTATTTAAATTTCCTTTTTTTTGTAGTTAAGCTGTTTTTTTCTTTTTCCTCCTTATTTAAGATGTAATATTTACCTTTTTAATATTTATCGAGTTTTAGGTACTTAAAGGTATCTCATTATAGGAATTAGTGAAATCTGTTGCATTTATCCATTTGGTTAAATTCAAAACATGCTAGATAATACTGTTGAAATTGTTTTTGTCTCTCTGAAGTTGATTATGAGATATATTGAAAGATTAAATCAGTCTCACATGCATGCTAGCAATAAGCATCATCCTCACTTCTTGAGAAAGATGTTATCATATAAATCTAGTTAGCTAGGATTACAGAGACCGTATAATTTGACTCTTTGGGTGGACATGCGTAGCCAGTCTTTTTCTTTTTTAGTTTATGAGGAGGTCCAGCAGGCTGATTTCTTCTTAATAACCACCTGGCCTTATGTAAAGCTATAGTCTTTTATCCAAAACCCTTGGGGCCTGGTGTGTTGTTATTTGAATTTAAAATAATATATTTTAGAAAGTAATACAGTATATATGCTAGCTGATATTTTATATATGATGTAACATTCTTAACAGTGTCTGAAGAGTCACTCTATAATTAAACATATTAATATTTCTGCAGTGAGATGTATGAATATTCACATTAACTGGGACAAGCGGATGGAAGAGCCTTGTATCAGTTTGGGTCAGTTATGAAAAAACTTTGGATTCCAGAATTTTTTGAATTTTGAATTTCAGATAATCAGTGGTGAACCTATAATAAAGTGTGTTATGTATTATAATATTAATAGGTATAATTATTTTTACAAATAATTTAAAATATAACAAAATTATATGTCTCTATTTAGTGTTTATCAGTTTTTCCACTATTTCACCTTTTATTTCATTCTCTAAAATATTTCCTTTGTACAGCTGTTGTATTCTCGAGGATTGCTAATTGATCTTCTAATCAAATCTAATGTTAGTCGATATGCAGAGTTCAAAAATATTACCAGGATTCTTGCATTTCGAGAAGGAAGAGTGGAACAGGTACTGTGCTGAGCAAGTATTGTAACTGGGTATGATTTTGAGTTACTGTGTTTTATTTGGGAAGGATAAGCAAATACGATTGTTATTTTCCTGGTAAAGCAGCAAAATCCAATCCTGCATGGTGATTAACAACTGTAAATAGTAAGAGATTGCCAATTAAAATGTCTAATGTTAATTTTCTCATGATTTATTCTGCAGCTTGATATTGGTGTTGAGAAAGTGTTAATTTCAGACAGTGTTGCTAGATTTGAGCTGTCATTTGTTCCCAGTTAGCGGTGACATGCTGGTGGCCTTCTAATGGCCTAAAGAGCAACTTGGCAGGATTAAGTAAGAGAGCTCACAAGTTAATTAGCTCTGAAGTCAACAGCGATGCCGTAAGAACTGATGGAAAGTAACATGAAACAGCCTGATTAGAAAGGAAATAATAATCTTGTTATACTTAAAGGGAAAGAAAATGTCATTTGGAATACTTGTATCGCTAGGAAGCAGTTTCTTAACTTTTAAAATCATGTTTTTCAGGTTCCTTGCTCCAGAGCAGATGTCTTTAATAGCAAACAACTTACTATGGTAGAAAAGCGAATGCTAATGAAGTTTCTCACATTTTGTATGGAGTATGAGGAACATCCTGATGAATATAAAGGTATTGTTTTTCATTAAATTTGTTTTCTTACATTATTTGAGAGTTCTTATTATTTTAATATGCTTGCTCTGATTTAATGAGCCACTCGCTATGCTTTTAAAGTATTTTTACTTTGCACTGTCCAATAGGTTAGCCTCTAGCAAAATGTAGCTATTTAAATTTAAATTAATTAAAATAAAATAAAATTTAAAATTTGTTCCTCAGTCTCACTAGCCACACTTCAAGTGCTCAGTGGCCACACGTGGCTAGTGGCTACTATGGCTACAGTGCAGCTGTAGAACATTTTCATCATGACAGCAATTCTGTGCTGGGTGTTCATTTTTATTCTTGTTAATTAAACACTGCGGTCAACTGGTTCTTCATAGATGATACTCCCTTTTCATTATCCATTAATTTTTTAATCATTTTTTTAAATTGAAGTATAGTTAATTTACAATGTTATGTTAGTTTCAAGAGTACAGCAAAGTGATTCAGTTATATTTATATTATATATATATTCTTTTTCATATTCTTTTCTGTTATAGTTTATTGCAAGATATTGAATATATTTCTCTGTGCTATACAGTAGGTCCTTGTTGTTTATCTATTTTACATATAGCAGTGCATATATGTTACTCTCCCACACCCCCATCCATTTTTTTATCAGTCATTAAAAAATCAGTATGTTTTTTCATTTTTCCAGGATCACTTTTGCTTGGAATGTTGAATTATTTCTTTTGATTGATTAAAAACAAGCTAGATAGTATGGGGGTGGGAAACCCCTGGATTAGGCAGAGATATGGATGGTTTCTAGTCTTGGCTTTGACCCATCTCACTGTGTGATCTGGGACCAGTTACTTCAGAGTTTGTTGAAAGTTGAATACACCACTTTAATATCAGAGCTTTACACTTAAAGTGCATTGAGCTGGAAGAGTTATCCAAAATAGGAATATACTGACAATTCACTTATAAAGTTACAATGAGAAATACAGCAGGTTTTTTTTATATTAGATGGAATATTAAAAGTCTAGCGCTTGTTCTTAAAGCTTCAAGTCCATTAGATACTGCCAGATTGTTCTCCACAGTAGTATAAACTTATATTCTCTTAAGAAATTTTTATAATTTTTGTTTATATTATTTCTATAAAGTTTTTGTCTACCACTAACAGTCCAATTACATTTTTTCTGTTCTTGGCTTAAAGGAATAGTATTTAGGGGATCCTTATGTTTTGAGGTGTGATTATAAGGCAGTAAGACTGATTCCACTAGCCATACAGAAATTATTTTCATTACCTTTTAGTCATAGTTCATTGTTCATAGTTTTAGGAAGAAATAGCAATTCAAAAAAAAACAAGTATTACTCTATCGTTTTCACCAAAAAAATTGCCATTTGTCATATTTAATATTTCAAAGTATAATTATTGGCATTATTCTGCAGTTTTAATAATAAAGTAAGATTATTGCCAACTGTGGAAACCTGTTGTGATGATTAATGAATTATTTAATACTTTTCTAATTTTTTAAATCCATAAAATACTAAACAAAGAGTCATCATTTAAAGCTAAAAATTGTATCATCAGTCCAATTAGGATAGTGAGATTGTTTCTAGTTTTTTTTTGTCCCCCCACAATCAATAGTCTCTGTTTAAAATGTAATAATATTACCACCTGTGTCCTTTGCCAAGTGTTTTAAACAGATCTGATCTCATTTTTGTGCAATGGTTTTAAATGGAAATTTGGGTTTGATTTTAATTGATAAATTTTCATCTTTCTTTTCATAGCCTATGAGGAATTTACATTTTCTGAATATTTAAAAACTCAGAAATTGACCCCCAACCTCCAATATTTTGTCCTACATTCAATTGCAATGACATCAGAGACAGCCAGCAGTACTATAGATGGTCTCAGAGCTACCAAAAACTTTCTTCACTGTCTTGGGCGGTATGGCAACACTCCATTTTTGTTTCCTTTATATGGCCAAGGAGAACTCCCTCAGTGTTTCTGCAGGTAAGACAGGCATTGGTTTTCTTATCTCTTTTAAACTGATACTTGAATAACAGGTGAAAAATAGAAAGACAAAAATGAGATTTAGTCAAGATTTAGTATATGCAAACATATACTTTGTTGTTCTACTCTTTTATAATCTATTTGCCTGCCTACCTACTTACCTAAATGATATAATCAGTCTGGCCTGTTTTTGAACTTTATAAAATAGAGTCATACTGTAAATTCCATTTTCCACTCAGTATTATGTTTCAAAGCATCATCCTTGTTGTGTGTGGTTATAGTTAAACTTATTTTCATTGCTACATAGTATTCCATTTTGAATATACCACAAGTTATTATTCCATTTTTCTGTTGATGGACGCAGGGTTTTTCCAGTTTTTTGTTGTTATTAACATCCTGTGTATGTTTCAGAGTATACAAGTTCAAGATTTTCTCTAGTATACATATCTAGGAGTGGAATTACTGAGTCATGGGATATATGAAAGTTCATACAAGATAGTGTCCAGTTGTTTCTCCAGAGAGTTGTACCAGTTTACCTCCCCCAGCAGTATAGTATATAAGAATTCTCATAGCTCTACATCTTTGCCAACATTTGGTGTTATCAGACTTTTTAATTTTTGTCAGTCTAATTCACCTAAAGTATCATCACATTGTATTTTTATTTTACATTTCCTGGATTACTAATGAGGTTGAGCGTCTTCTCATATGATTATTGGCTATTCATGTTTTCTCTTTTGGGAAATGCTTGTTCATGTCTTTTACCCATTTGTCTCTTGGGTTGTTGTCTTTTGCTTATTGATTTGTAGGTGTTTTTATATATTCTGAATACTGATCTTTTCTCAGTTAAATGTGTTGCATGTATCTTGCCTTATGGTATATATGATGCGTGGAGGTCATTAAGATTAATGTAGTCAAATATAGCAATCTTTTCTTTTATACTTAGAACTTTTGGGGGTAGTAGAGCATAGTAGTTAAGAACCTGGACTATGGAAACAGACTGCTTAGATTTAAATCCTGGCTCCTCTATTTATTAGCCATGTAACCTTGGACAAGTTTCTCAATCTCTTTATTATGTTTTGAAAGAATCAACTTTTGGGTTTTTTGATTCTCTGTATCCTAGTTCATTAATTTCTGGTCTTTATTATCCTTTATTTTGCTTTCTTTGGGCTTTATTCAACTCATCCCTCCCCTCCCCTGCCCTTGCAAATTCTTAGGCTGAAACCTAATGAGTTAAATAGTCACCTTTTTAATTTTCTAATATAAGCATTAATATGGTAAAGTTCTAACTATTGTTTTGAATCTTACACAGCTATTATATATTATTTTCATTATCTTTTAATCCTAATTATCTTAATTTCCATTGTGATTTCTTCATTGACCCATGAGTTATGTATTTTTAAATAGCTAATCTGGTTGATTCTTCTGCTCTTACCATCTCATTTAATTCTACTGTGTATAGAAAATATGTTTTTATGGTACTAATTCTTTGAACTTTATGACTTAGTATGTCATCAATTTTTATAATTTTTCCACGTGTGCTCAAGAAGAATGTGTTTATCTAGTTGTTGGTTACAGGGCTCTCTAATTATTGCTCTTGAAGTCTGATAAGTCAAGCTTCGAGTTGTCATTTTCAAACTTTATTTTTATTGAAGTGTTTTTTCTTTGATCTGTCAATGATAAGAGTGACGTGTTTTGAAATCTCCCATTATGATTTTTGATTTGTCAGTTTCTCCCTATAATTCTATCAATTTTTACCTTATATTTATTTTGAGGCAATTTATTAAGATCGTATAAATTTCTAATTGTTTAATCTTCCTGATGAATTTAATGTTTTGCATAGTCTGCTGACTTTCTCCATCCCTAATAATACATTTTTTTCTTAAAGTCTAGTTTATCTAATATCAAAGAGCTACTCCAACTTTTTAATATTTGCCTGTTATATCTTTCTCCATCCCTTTATTTTTCAACTATATTTAGAGCTCTAAATAGCATATTATTACATATTTTTAATTCCATCTGACAATTTCTATCTTTTACCAAGTAGTGTAAGTGCGGTTAACAGGAGTCTGTTCCTTCCTTCAGAAGTATATAATTTTAAAAGTTCCTCTAGTTTATGCTCTGGGCAGTTAATGCTTTCTAGTTTGTGTGCATATGAAAATAACTTTTTTTTTTTGCCTTTTTTCTTGAGTGAATATTTGTTAGGTAAACATTTCTATGTTGGCAGTTCTTTTCTCTCAGTACATTAAAATTTTATTCCACTGTCATTTGGGTTCCATTTTTGTTGTTGAGATGTTTGATGTCAGCCTAATTGTCATTTCTTTATAAGTGATATCTCTTTTTTCTCAGGCTGTTTTTAAGATATTTTGTCTACAGTGTTCTGCATTTTCACTACAGTGAATTTAGGTATTGGTTCCTTTGTATTTATCTAGCTTGATATAGGTAAAACCATATGAAATTAACAATATTAAAACATTTTGACCTACAATTCCATATGGTTCAAACAACTACATTGCAAGTTCCTCTATCTTTGAATTGTCATTTATTATTTTAGAAAATTATCAGTCAGTATCTTGAAAATGTTGTTTTCATCCATTGTCTCTTATTTTCACCTTTTTGGAACCACAAATAGGTATGTTTTAGAACTTAGCATTCTCTCTTCCATGTTTTTTAATCTCTCTTTCATATTTTCTATTTCCTTGTCCTTCCTGCTACATTCTGGGTACCTAATAAAGGTCTGTTTTCCAGTTTATTCTCTTCACCTGTAACTAATCTGCAGTTTAACCCTTTTTTTTTACTCCAGTATTTTTATCGTTCATTTTTAGAAGTTCTGCTTTTTCCCCCAGAATCTTCCTTGTCATTGTTTGATAGTCTCTTTTGCTTGGTCACTTCTTTCATATACAGATATTTTATATTCTGCCATGTGTTGTTTCTGTTGATTTACATTAATGATTTATTTCCTTGTGCCATGCTTATTTTTGACTGAGAGTTTGTATTTGATTGATTTTAATCTGTGGAAATCTGGGGGCCCAAATTAAGAATGCTTTCCTTCAAGAATTATTTGTGTTTTCCTTCAGCCGGAAGGCACTAAGACTTGGGACCATTTTAACTCCCTTCAGGGGGTCTTTGCTTAATAAAGAAGCCCCAGATACAGCTCCCACACTGATATGGGCAACACGACTTGTTTGTTTGTTTTTTTTTAATTGCAGTGTTTGTTGCTCAAAGCTTTGAGTTCAGCTCAGGGTTTGTACTGTGCATATGTGTGTTTGGGGTTGTGGATTTCCTATGGACATTTCTCTTATTTCCTTCACTCTCAGCAGTGCAATAAAAATTATGTTTAATGTAAGAAATAGTCTTTTGTTAGTAATAGGAGGTCCCTTCACAGTATCTAGTCCAATATGTGATTTTATGAATGGTGGTAAGAATGTTATAAATTTGAAAGTAACTTAATTCTGAAAGATAGGTCTGTGTAATTCCAGACAAGTTCTTCCTCCTCCACCTATTGTCAAAGTAGGGATGAATGGGCAGTGTCATGTCCCCCAGGACCAGAGGTCCTCCTATCAATTGAAACTAATAGGGGAGTTGTATGGGTTTCTTAATCATTCTTTTCCTCTTCCTGTGGCTTTGCCCGATTCAGAGGGAGCTACACTACTTTCTCTCATGTTCCCACTTGCCACTTACTCCTACAGAACTTTAGGGTAAGGAATAGGGACAAAATCAACAGGTCACTGGGGAGTGAGCAGAAGCTCACTGGCTTCCTTACCAGCACTTTATGAAAATGGATTATTTAACCTCATTCTTATTTTTTCACAAAATCCATTTATTTCCTTTCCTAATTCATATATTTGTAAATATATATTTAATGTTTGTTTATTTGTTATTTTTAAGGGAAACAACATTTAAAAGTTTCATTTGTCCTGTACTGATAAAAAATTTGAATGACACCCTTATGTGTTGAATTCTAGACAAAGGAAATATTTTTCGCCAAAGATGATTGTAACCTTCTTAAGGCTGAGGTTTTATCAGCCTTCTGTATCTTTTTATCCTCTGCAAGCCTATCTCAGAATTTTGTGTGTGGTTCATATTTAATGTTTGTTATAAAAATTATATCTCGCTCTCTCCAATTTGTAGTGAATTGAAATTTCAGGGAATGATATAATTAAATGTATATGTATTTGTGTAGATAGATAGATATTAAAGACAACAACAAAAGACTGTTATATTTGAAGTAGTATATTAAACTTTTGGGTGGTTCTTTGGTAATTAAGGCAACTCTGAGTTCTTCCTACATATTATATATATGAATCTGTGTGTTTATAAATTACAATAAAATGCATTTACTTGGCCTAGGGATATTAACTTTTAATTTTATATTTGATTCCCTGCATAATGCTTTACAATTTCATATAAATATTGTTCTGTTTATATCCTAAAGTACTAACACTACCACCATCTATACATCATAGTCTACGCTTTTTATCACCAGGTTATCAGAATTAGGTATCACCTGTTCTGTGATTTCTAACCACCGTTTTATATTCTGTTTTAATATAACCCTCTTAAGCATTTCTCACAGCCAGTTACAGTGTGTTCTCATCAAGGCTACTGTTATAAATGGCATGCATGCATATTTATGTGAAGGATTCAAAGACTTTTGTAAGTCATATCCTTGCATTCTAAATGAACTCTGCATAAACAGTATAACATTTTAACTACTGGAGATAACTTTCATGAATGACCACCCTTTGAGGTTTTTATCAATTTAAATAGGTAGGGTTTTTTTTCAGCAAAGAAAATGAAGCTTATTTATTGTACTACCTATTACCCATTGATATGTCAAGATACATAAATTGGACCATACTGGAAGAAAGTCATTGAAACCTATATATTTTTCTAGTCTAGCAAGCCATAGAATTTCCCCTACTGTATATTCGTTGGCTAATATTTTTTCTGGCACACTGGGCAGGATATGTATGCAGTATATAGGTTTTTAAACTCTCACA